AGAATCGCAATGCGAAATGAAAATCGCAATGCGGAAATGAAAATCGCAACGAGAGAATCGCAATGCGATTTTAATTTCGCATTGCGATTCTCTCGTTGCGATTTTCATTTTGCATTGCGATTTTCATTTCGCATTGCGATTCTCTCGTTGCGATTTTCATTTCGCATTGCGATTTTCATTTCCGCATTGCGATTCTCTCGTTGCGATTTTCATTTCGCATTGCGATTTTCATTTCCGCATTGCGATTTTCATGTTGGGATTTTCATTTCGCATTGCGATTCTCTCGTTGCGATTGTAATTTCCGTGTTGCGATAGTCAAATGCATGCCTAATAAGTGATAACAACTGAATAACAAGAGTTGGTTAAGTCAAAATGGTTGGCCTGAGTCATTAATTCAACTGAAAATGTTAAAAGTTCACACATAAAATCCACATAATACAACGTTTGCATTTAAAAATCACCTAAGTTAACAGTCCCAAAAGGTGAAGCCATTGTGATTGGGATTTTAAAGATGATTGCCTTTTGCTTGACACCATATGAGCTTTGGATTTTGATGAGGATCCATATTTTGGTAGAGGAAAAGATGATTTTGATGGCACTGGTGATCCACATGTCAACCTTGTATGACCACTTTCCTTGCACCGACTACATGTCGATCTCTTCTTCTCTTCACCCTTAGACGGTATACGATCGTGACTTTTTGGTCGGCCAGGTAGCCTTCTGTCCATGGCTGGTGGCAAAACTGTTTGTAAGTCATCTGGTATGTCCCACTCAGAAGGATGTGGAATAGGGTAGACAATCTCGGCATAAGTCTGTCGATAAACTTCTGTAGTGTAGCAATCCATAGCGTATGCGTTTGAATCATCTTGGTTTAAATGAAGAGCAACTTTTATAACATGGCCACACGGATAACCAGATGTTTGCCATTTCATACAACTACACGTCTTTGCATTTAGATCGACTAGCCCATTTAAGTTATTATCCAGTACTTGAAACAAAGTGTTTGAACATGGTTCAACTCTCCATGACGTTGACTTCACAACACGTTTCGTTATCTTTTTTTCAGTCATGGTGTAACACGATGTTCCAATGTTCCTGTAAATTTAAATAAACAATACTTAGTAAAATATATAAATATGATAAGTTACGAATTCAAAGAAATAATACCTGCATGGTTTCTTTTCTTGTAGTACCACTGTTGAATAGAGGCTCGAAAAAACTCCATTAACATAGTAATGGGTAATTTCCGGGAATGACGACTTAGAGCGTTGATTGATTCTGCACTATTAGACGTCATGAAACCATATCTTGCTCCAAGTTGATGTACTATTGACCATCTTTCAAACCCGACATCTTCTAGTGTTTGAGCACACTGAGGCAAAACACGTCTTAAACAATTTATATGCTTATTGAAATCCACTTCCCGATAAGCTTTTACAGCCTTCCAGTATGTCCATTTGTGCTTTTTATACCAGCAGACCTTGATTTTAGATTTCTATACAAATGAACACCACAAAGTCCATGAAAAGCATATGGGAAACACCTTCTAACAGCGTTGTCAATTGAGTTTGCCCTATCGGATATGATTGTCAGATTGCTAATAGGACCTATGCAATCCCTAAGATGCCCCATAAACCATGTCCATGAATCAGAGGTTTCAGATTTGCCAACCCCGTAAGCTATTGGCAATATCCCATTGTTAGCATCCATGGCTACTGCTAATAAGTTTACTCCAAGGTATCGACCTTTCAAATGTGCTCCGTCAACTATAATAACTGGGCGCATGCAAGTAATAAACGAACGAATCTACAAAATAATATACACAAGAAATATAATCATTTAAATGTGAAATGCATGTAACTAACAAAAATGAGTCAACAAAATTATATTGATTTACTAACCGTAGCACCAATGGCGATAAACAGCAACTCAAAGCGTCCATCTCTATCTGTTTTGATATGAGTTACCGACCCAGGATTTTTCAGCTTTAAATTGTGACAATAAGCCGGCAGTTGGGCAAACGATGCTTCTGGCGACCCCCTCAACAATTCCAAGGCATAACATTTGGCTCTCCAAGCTTGAGAATATGATATACTAATCTTGAACCGAGCATTAATGTCAGTCATAATTTCATGTCCCCGATATACCCTGCCATTCAAAAATTAACTCAGCCAGAAAACCACCCAACACCTTTTTGTTTGCCTGTCTATGGTGAGGAAAAACTTGGGTTCTTGAACATGTATGTTTATCAATAAAAGTCCTAACTTGAAACATTTCGCAATCTTTTATTCTCTTTGCAATCATACGCCACGTACAGTTTTTGTCAATCATACACCTTGTTTCGAAACGATCTTTGCTTGATTTGTTAACTTTTAGTTGATAGCCATCTTCCACACATTTCGTATACAAAGCTATCTTCAAGTCTTCCTTTGTATCAAAACAATCATCTTTCTTGATACGAATAACTTTTGTGTAACAATTAACTGCTTTCTTTACCAACTCTTCTTCTGGTATCTGAAGTAATTCTGGCATATTCCAGTTATACGCCCGTGGCATTTTCTTTTCTTCGGGGACTTTTTCTTCTTCTTTTTCTTCTTCAGGATTATATGAATTACAGAATGGATGTTCAACATGTTCATTCACAGTCGTAACTTCCTCCTCATTATCATCAACAATACATTCTTCGGCAACGGCTGTTTCATCATCAAAATTCGGGTATTAACCAATATCAAAATCATTACACGCAAGGTCTGTTTCTTCTTCTGAAACATCATCAAAATCCGTGTATTGACCAATATCAAAGTCCGGATATTGACCAAGACCAAATTTCGAATACTGACTAGTACTCATAATTTTTTCTGTTGGCTCATCATCGTCTAACTGGTCAATACGAAAACCGGAATTTGGTGCTGAAAGTTGATTGGGATTTGGATTAGAGAAAGGTTGTGGGTTTTGAGAAAAACTTAGTTGATTACTACCCGCTACTGACCCAACAATACTACTTCTAGGTTCAACAACATACAATGTAACATCATCTTGTGAAACACTAATGTAAGCAATGAATCGTTCAACATCTTCATTGTCGGTTAACAAATAAACTTTACCATTTCTCTGATAAGATAGCCTAAATCCACTTAGGGGCTCTAAATTCAATTTATTTGAAACACGTAGCATTAGAGTTTCATAAGTTAACTTTTGTAAAGACAATTTTAGTTGAAGATTCATGGGTAAAGGCATATATTGTAAAACACCATGAACATTATCCCATGACCCTCCAAAACACAAATCTATCCAAACATGATCAACATTAGATGATTTCATGGTTGTAAATTAATTTACTAAACAGACGAGCTGCGAAACTAAAACCTGTTGCCGGATTGGGAAGGATGTCGTTGGATATAGGAACGGATGTCGCCGGAGAGAGTGATAGATGGAGATGGAATGAGTTGCGATTTAGGGATTTAGTTTATGATTTGCTGCTGTTTCGTAGTTATATACCCAAAATTTCAGTGTTGTGATTTACAGATTCTCGTTGCGATTTACGGATTATCGTTGCGATTTACAGATTCTCGTTGCGATTTACGGATTATCGTTGCGATTTACAGATTCTCGTTGCGATTTACGGATTATCGTTGCGATTTACGGATACGCGTTGCGATATACGGATACGCATTGCGATTTACGGATACGCGTTGCGATTTACGGATACACGTTGCGATTTACGGATACGCGTTGCGATTTATGTGTTCGCGTTACGATTTTCATATTCGCGTTGCGATTCTGGAAAATCGCAATGCGAATTTGTACTATCGCATTGCGATTTTCAAGAATCGCGTTGCGATTTTGGAAACTGATTTGCGATTCTGGGGATCGCGTTGCGATTTTTATTTCGCGTTGCGATTTTGTTGGTCATTTTGGCAAATCCAAAAAAAGTTGGTTAAAATCGTATATTATAAGGCATTTTTGGTCACTGAGGCGATTTTCTCTTAAAATAATCTTCTTTAAAAGCTGAATTATTCGTTTAAATCTAAAGTTTCATAAAAATTTTAAGGAGATTTGTGGAAAAAAAATAGGCTTGAAAAACAAATTCCTAGAAAACATTAAACTCATTTAAAAGTGAATCAAGGATACACAAAAATTTTCTTTTTAACCGTCCGGCCGTAAACGTTGTTAATTTTCTTCTTTAATTGTCAGATAATTTTAAAAGTTTTATTTAAAATTAAAAAAAATAAAATTATATATTTTTTTAAAAAAATACAAAAAAACTTTTGAAATAGGCCCAAAACTTTGAAAAATTTCATTTCAACCCCTAAATCCACGTAGGTCGTCGCACTTCACCGTCGAGGAAGCTTTTCCTGACCTCACCTCCTCCCGACGATTTGTATCCCGCAAACTTTAGGAAGAAAATCACATTCCCACGCGATTTCGACAGCCAATCGTTAACAACTACGACGACGTATGACTAGGAGGATGACAGAGACTACGTCGGCGACGGTGGTCGCTGTCAGAAAGGGCGACGATGGGTCAGGGTTATGGATTTAGGATTTTTAGGAATTTGGATTTTTTTATAATTTAAGAGAAATTAGGATTTTTTTTATAAATATAACAATATTTTTAATTTTTAAAACACAAATCTCAAAATTACTAGAATGTAACACGTGTCACTTAACGGAGAAAACTAACGACAGTTATGGCTCGAACACCTAAAGTGGTAACGTTTGTAATATTAGGCACCTGAATCATTCAAAAAATAGTTTATGCACCTATTAGTGAAAAATGAAATAATTTGGACATTTATTTTATAATTAAGCCAAAAAAATTCTTTTATTTATGTATCATATAATATATGGATGAGATTAATACAAACTTGGGCCAACCATTTACAAATACGATAGAATACATAATGGATCCAAAGTAAGTAAATAAAACGTTTAAAACAAAATTTCAAGAATATTTTCACGTTTCTCCTTCATCCAAACTATTTATAGAACCCCATCCTCTCGTGCTTCATCACGGTTGAAAGTAGAATTCAAAATAATGAGATATTGGGTGGTGTTCGTTTCGTCTTTGGTTTTATCCTACGTGCTCGTAGGCAATGCTTTTCAATGTGGGCATCAAGCCGGTGGTGCTCTGTGTCCACCAGGCATATGTTGTAGCTTCTGGGGCTGGTGTGGCACCACTGACCTCCACTGCCTCGTTGAAAATGGCTGTCAAAGTAATTGTGTAGATGGCCCCGACACTCCGCCACCACCAGCCCCTGAAACTCCACCGCCTTCCCCCGACATTCCGCCCGGTGGTGCACTCGGTGATATTATATCAAGAGAAATGTTCGATGAGATGCTGAAATATAGAAATGATCCTCGCTGTCATGCCGTTGGCTTCTACACCTACGAAGCTTTCATAACCGCTGCGAAGTCTTACCCAGCCTTTGCCTCAACCGGCGATCTGGCCACTCGGAAAAGAGAAGTTGCTGCTTTCTTAGGCCAAACTTCCCACGAAACTACTGGTTTGTCCAATTCTCAAACTCCACTAATTTGACCTTAGTATAAGTTTCACCAAGTTTTTAACGTGACTAGTTGGCCTTGGCCGACAATCGAGTATTACATTAGCTCATTATAGAGATGATTTTCCTAATTTAATTTTTTTCCGTTCACCTCAGAACTTAAATCTCTAACCTTATTTAAAGGACTTACTAGTATCTCATATCACTAGATCAGTCGGTTGTTGATAGATATTAGTGTGTTTTAACGGTTGATTTAATGACGTTGCAGGTGGATGGCTGGGAGCACCGGATGGTCCATATTTTTGGGGATATTGCTATAAGGAGGAGATAGGTTGCCCTTCACATTATTGCCAGCCAAACCAAAATTTTCCTTGTGTTCCTGGTCAGAGTTATTGTGGCCGAGGTCCCATTCAACTTTCATGGTAACTTCATCACCTTTAACTAGTTATATTTTCTAAATGCTATCCTACATAATCTTGTTTTCTAATGAAATTCCGTATGTCCCAGGAACTATAACTATGGCCAATTTGGAGAAAGCATAGGGCGTAAGGACCAGCTTTTACGAAATCCCGCCATCTTAATAAACAACAATACCATGTCCTTCGAGTCTGCTTTCTGGTTCTGGATGACTCCACAGCCACCAAAGCCTTCTTGCCACGACGTGATAACCGGAGTATGGACACCTTCACCTGCTGACATCGCAGCGAATCGCCTTCCCGGGCTTGGCGTGACCACGAATATTATCAATGGCGGATTGGAATGCGGTACTGGTCGTCCCGACGACAGGGTTCAGAGCCGCATCGGGTTCTATAAAAGGTACTGCGACATGCTCGGAGTTAGCTATGGCGACAATCTTGACTGCTACAACCAAAGGCCTTTCGGATTTGGACGCTTGGTGGATTCGATGTAGCTTTTGGTATCAAATGACGGCATTGATAAACAATAAGTGTGACCTTTATGATTCGGTAGAATAAAACAGTGCCATGTGCTAAATGCACTGTGTTCAATGCTCCGTCTTTGAAAGTTTATGTAAGCTCAAGTTAAATAAAATCAATAATTGATCCTTAAGCACTGGGGGAAGATGTTTAGTATTCATAACCTCTAAAATTGGTATCTAATTGGTTTATACAGGAAAAGGGTTGAAGGGGTCAAACATGAAATTTGTGTAACTGAATATCTGATAATAGATCTTTTAGTGAGAATAATTTGTCGGACAAGATAGGATCACAAAGACAATAAAACTCTTTCATCATCGATCCAAAAGCTTATTATGGCAAAAATTTTGACAATAAAATATGACTTCCTTTCTAATACATTATTGACATTGCCGGCAATAGGCAGGACGTCGAACAGAGCCATCTTCTATACAAAAACTGAAATAATTCAAGTCAAAATGGAAGAGAAAATAGTACAACATTTGATTGCGTATGAGCATTCTCGATTTGCATGAATCACTGTAAAATACATACAGAAAGAATCCTGCGTTATAAAACTTATTAATCATGCAAAAATGATGGAGAATCTGCCTACTCCGATGGTTTGGCCACCTCGGCTTTCTGTAATTTGTAGAAGCAACTAGCAAGCCCGAGTTTCCTTCAATCGAAAGCAAATAAATTGCGGTTTGAGTGAGATATTCGACACCATGAATGGATCTTCTCACCTTGCACACAGGAGCTTGCAATCCGAAACACCGAGCAACTTGCCCCTATTGAATTCTTCACTTATGAATGGTCTTTGCGGCATTAACAACGGTGAAGCTTGTTCTATTGTTATTTCCCTCACGCGATTCAGACTGATGGAAGAGCAACCGGCCAAGTCGGGATTTACAGCTCTTGAGAGATTCTTTCTTTAACACGTCGTAAAAGCTCCTCGTAGGCTTTGGAGGACTCCAAACAGAACCTCTCCATTGATTCGAATATGCATAGCAAGCTCCCTTGCAAATTTCCGTTGCTAGTCTCACTCTGATACACTTGTCCTGATACCGAGAGACTATTGCCATCTCCGGAGACCAAAACGATTTGCTTATCCAATGCTTGGATATCTTTCTGTAACCTTTGATCCTCTATATCCAAATTCATGGCTGTTATCTCTAAATCCTTATTGATCATCATTCTCCGATGCATTTCGGACTTATCTTGTTCCCAAATCTGGAGTAGACTCATGGCAAAAATCCGCATCGAGTTAACCACCTCCCTTTCAGATATTCTATCCACTGCCTGTGACCATTGGTTACATATTACGAATATCGGAGGCGCACCGACCCGACTAGGTGAAAAGGGAGCTATTCCGTCATCTGTCACTTCAGGTTCATAGTAAAGACATTTCAGAAGCCAGTTATTCAAAGCCCTGACATAACCCTTCTGGGAACCTATCCACCGGGAGAATCTTAGAGTCCAACTAATAAGTTCATGCTCGAGCAGCAACGTGGCTTTTAGATGATCATCGCTTATCTTTTTGCCCGATCCGACAGAACCTAATGTTTTGGCTTCTCTAATCACCTTATACTGACTATGATGGCATTCAAGCATACATTTCCACATTGTGCTTAACCTGGATAAAAGAATTACGAGGAAACATCATCAGACAAATGTAAAAGCAATGGTCATATATAAGAAGGTTGTCACTCGATTGTACATTATTACAAGCTAAAAGCAAAATACTGACACTAAAGAGCAATGTAAGGAGAAAGCGATAGGAAAATGCAATAACTTGTACAAACAGAACAAAAAATTACCCTTCGATCAGTTCATTGAGCAGCGGCCATAGTTCGTCATCCCTGATCTTATTGATGGTCATAGATATCTTGTCAACAACTTGAATTGTAATTCTTAACTTTGTCGATAGGCTCCTGATTATATTCCGGGTTGAATCAACTTTATTAGCTTCAGCACCCTTTTCATCCAGTCGTTTCAACTTCCGGCATTTCTGGTCATAAGCTACCCGCATCTTCTCTTCAGCCTGCATTTCATAGGATACTACTAAGCCATTGTAATACCATCGGAAAATCAAATCAAAATGAACGCAAGGTGTTCCTAAATGGGGTGCAGAAACAACAGTATTCCAATATTATGCCATGAAAAAACATTAAACTCAACAACATGAAGCCCCTTCAAAGGTGAATGAGTATCTCCGATCAGTAACATCCAGAGAAACAGTTTTTTAATGACATATAAATCAAATTAAACTAAAACAATATAAGGTAAAAATAATAGACAATCAAACAACTCAATACACTGAAATGAAGAGGAACCAAATGCAAAACAAGAATAGCCCACTAATCAAGTAGTCCATACAGCGTTTTGAGATGACCATGATAGGTAAAAACAAATACTACAATATACCTTTACTTCATTGTAGAGTTTCTTTTCCCAAAGATACAACTTCTGCAAAGTAGAGGAAAGGTTTTTCGGCTTCCTGGCCAATTCTTCACCAAAGTCTAGTAAAGCTGGATCGGTGTTGTCGGTCGAAGATGAAGAGGTGGCACTTTCAGAAGTAGATGGCTGAGATGATGATACAACTGATAATGAAGGAGTAACTGCATCCAACATCTTGGAACCTGTTTCGCAGAAGATACTCAAATCCCACATTTAGCATTACACTATTACTACTAGAGGGAAAAACAATCAAATAGAAAACCTATATTTATAGCAACAATCCACGCTTCCCAATTCACAGGTTATGTACAGTCACAAAAAGGATGAAAACAATTACCATGTTTGCGCTGATAACGAAGTGTTCCCACCTCAAGCAACTTGGCAATTTCACTACATGACTCGGAAGCTCTCACAAACTGAACCTGTATCTCTCGAGCCAATTCAAAAGCATTCCTAGGAGCGGCTTGTGGTCCATTGTCATGATCCTCAGCCTTCTTATCATCCACAACTTTCTTATCCACCACATGAACCTCATATTCTACCCCATCATTTTCCATTCCATCACTCGGCCTCGCCTTATAATGCGAAGACTCTGCTTCATTGCTAGCAACTTGGCCATCGCCGTCTTCATCTGGCGGCATGGGATGCTCGCCGCCGTTGACAAATTTCTGATCTCCATACACTTCTTTAACTACTTCATGTTGATAATCCTCTTCTTCCAAATCAGGGATCCCTTCCTCTTCTGTCAACTCCCTCGAGTCCCTACTCGAATCACAAGGAGGATGGTAGCTTTCATAATTCTGAAAAGGGTTTAAAAAATCCCAAGCTGAAGCTCTGGGAGGTGAAGGTGGTGGCGGTGGCGGCTTCGAGGATGACCCTGCCGCCGCCAACTTTGGCGTTGAAGAATCATAACCAGGCGCCGGATAAATAGAATAATTACTGAAACCACCGTAATTTGGGTAACCCGGATTAAGGTATGAACTAGAACTAGGATTATCATTACTAACAAAAGAATAAGGATAATAAGACGATGATGAAGATTCACCCATATAAACCGTCTCTGGATTCATAGGCCTCTGTGCATAAACAATAGACGGCGTTGGTTGTTTCTTCATAAAATTCATATGCATAAACCCACCTGGAAAAGACCCAGTTTCAAAAGCTCCATAATTGGGATAATTCTGGTGTATATGCTCTATATGACCGCCACCGCCGTCGTGCAAAGGAGAATAATGATCCGAATGGTGCAAACTCCCGCCCGAATCATCTTCATCCGAATCCGAATGGAACCGAAGATGAGACCCGGAATCGGAATGGCGGTGAGAAAGAGCACTTTTTTGGGGTGAACTCGACCCGACTTCAACCGGATCCAACGCTTTACTCTTAAGTTGATTATGAGACGGCGGAGAAGGAGGCGCCGCCGCCTCCGAAGAGGTGCCAAAATCATGCTCGATGAAATGATTCAAAGACTGACCAAATAACTTCAATGAAGCAGTGTAAGCAACATGAGCTTCAGCTAAAGCAAAACGTAGCTGAATCGCTTCGTCTAAAAAAGTACATCTTTCTCGACAAAGAGTAACCGCGGGGAGATCGTCTAACTTTGAACCAGAACATCCCATTGTTTTCACCCCACAAAAAAAAAAAAAAGGAAAATGACCCAGAAAGGACTAGTGTCTTATTTAGAGATGTAGGAAACAGAAAACATGGTAATAGTGATTGTTTCTCGGGAAAATTTCAGGGCACGACAAAGAAAAAGAGGGAATCTTTGACAGCGAGGAGTGTGTAGACTGTGTTGCAACATAAGCAGAAAGAAGACAAAGAAAAAAGACGGAAACTCTTCTCGAAACAGTGCTCTGTGCCGCGTCGGTGCGTCTATTGCTGGAGAGTTATTACAAATCAAATCAAAATCTTCAATCTTTTTTATATTATTTAACAGCATGCAATTAGTTATTATGACAATTAAAGATAATTTCAATTCGATTTAAACGTATTCAAATTAATTTTTTTATATTAATTTATGGAAATGGAAGAATTCACTTTATAAAAATTATGAATTTTTCTGACTAAACAAACATTGTCAAGATTTTGGTTTGACCAACAACTTCACACTAATGCTTTGCACATGATCTTTACAGTTACTTAACTGTTAGAATATGATGCCCAACAATATTTTTGAATTATTATAGTATTAGTTTTAAGGGACGTTAAAAAAAAAATTAAAAACAGGAAGAAGCAGAAGAAATCCTTACCAAATATTTTAGCATGCGGAGAGAAAAACCTTCAGTATTGGTTATTTGATCCACGAGGCGTCCAGGAGTTCCAACCTACAGGGCGAAGATTAAATTTCAATCGTTTAAAAAATAAATATTCATATGTATTGTTTGTTCCATCAATTGCCTGCGTGTCTCCTGAAAGCTGCTTAAAACAATTTGTATACTGATATTTTTTCTTGGGTTTTTAACGTTTAAGGAAGGTTACTACCATTAAGGAAACATCTTATAAACACTAAACAAAGTTTCCAAGACAGATGATGTTATCTAAATAAGCTTACAGACTAGGGATGGCAAACGGGTACAGTTTCATAGATTCCGTACCGTATCCACTCCAATTGGAGCGGGGATGGGTATAGTTTTAGCAGGTAGTGGGCGGGTGTGGATTTATAAAGTAGTACCCGTCGTGGGTGGTGGGCGGGTAATGGGTTTGAGACATTACCCGCCCCGCATCCGCCCGCCCCACATCCGCCCGCCCAGCTATCCGCCCGCCCAGTTAAATATCTATTAAATTTTGGACCATTATGAATTTAGGTGTAATTTTAGAGACTAATTTATAAATTTTAATATTGTATAATATATAACATATAATTTAACCAAATATTAAGGATATTTAGTCTTTAATCTGGTCTTTAATTAGGGAAATATTCAGCTCTTTGATTAAACCCATAATCCCACTAACCACGTCACTTTCCATGTTCTTTAGCCCATGTTGCCCATCCAAACACAAATTAACCGTATTATATGCATTAACATCAAAAGCAGTATTTTCCATGTTCTTTAGCCCCTCAAAACCTATATTAGGCGCACTATGAGCATTAACATCGAAAACAACTCAATAATACAGCTCTGCGACTACATGCTCCCTACAATCTGTCTCCATAACATTCGTAGAGCCACTCCTCTGACAAATTGAAGCATGCGTTGCTACCCTATCACGAACTGTCTGGGAACCAACTCCAACATCCCATTAGTTTCCTGCCAGGCGGGTCTAGATGGGTATGACGCTAGTGGGAAGTGGGTGTAGGGATGTATTTGAAAATGTACCTGTATGGGCGGGTGTGGATTTGAAAATTTGTACCCATCATGGGTGGTGGGCGGGTGGTAAATTAAAAAATTAGGTGGGTATGGGGATGGGGGAGGGAGTATCCGCACCCGACCCACCCGTTTGCCATCCCTATTACAGACACATCAAAACCTACGGTACATAGCCCTTGCACTAATTCTTTGCAAGTAAATCATAAAAAAGAAAGATATCCATGCCAACCTAGATGATACAAGTATCATAAAATGGAGATTGCTTCATGCAGTGCAGTCAACCAATATATCAAGATAACAGAAAGGGACTATGATAACACAGACCAAGCATGAGTATACTGGCATAATCAGTCACTACATCTTAGAACATAAACTTAGATAAGGCATCAACAACTTAACACTAATATACTTGCAATCATTTTTTATCCAACTGTTACCTACAGTTTCATAATTGCAATCAAGTCTTAAACTACAAGTGAAATTAACCTAGATCACTTATGCTCAAATTTACTTAAAAGTTCTAAATGGTATGTCAGACAGATAACAAATGAACTTGCAATAATGTGGAGCTCCCAAAAATAAATATTTACATTAAAAAATAATAATAAAAAATGTTGATTTCAAAGATATCAGGGTGCGAGCGTTCAACGTCGAAATGTTGAGAGTTTTCTTTGAACATATATTACCTTATACTTACCCCAGATTAATTAAAAAACATACATATAAACACTTCAATTCACAATGGAATACATATTGTTCCTTCAATTATCCCCTCCTAAGTATCCCTTTGCTGTTCCACATTTTAAAATCTTAATTTCACAAATGTTCATCAGTTGATAAAACGGACAGCAATATAGAGCTATCTCAGTTGATAACATCATAAGTATCCTTTGCTGTTCTTGAAATTTCAACAAAAACTTGATAACTTAAAAGAAAATAAAAAAGGAGAAATAGCAATGAACTTACAAGCTTAAAATTAAAAGGCTTAATGCCAAAAAAAAGTTCTCAAACTATATTGTTTTTTCCAAATAGGTGTCTAAACTATTTTTCGACTCATCCAGATGACTAAAGTTACAAACGTTATCTATTTAGGTGCCCGGGCCATTAACAACAATAATTTTTCCTGTTAAGTGATATATGTCAATATCCAATTATTTTTTAAATATTTAAATTATTATTTATATTTATTAAAAAAACTCTAATTTATCTTAAATTATAAAATAGCTCCTAAATTCCTAAAATCCCCAAATCCTAACTTTAACCAGCCGTTGCCCCTTTCCGGCCACGACCACTGCTGCCGTCATAGTCTCTACAATCCTCCTAGTCATACGATGTCGTAGTTGTCGCCAATTGACTGTTGGAATCGTGTGGGATCGCGATTTTCAACCTAGGATTCGCGGGGTATAAAACGTCGATTCGTCATTGATCGTCCATCGATCAGTTACGATTTCATAAGGGTTTTGGTCACCGAAGGGAGGGAATGTCGGGTGGAGCTTCGTCGACGGCAGAGGACGATGGGCGGCGTTGGATTAAGGGTTGAAATGAAGGTTTTCAAAGTTTTAGATTTATTTCAAAATTTGTGTTTTCTTTTTTAAATTGTCGCAACCGTCTTTCCGTTGGGCCCGGAATTGGGCTTCGACTTGGGAAATATGGTTAGAGTCGCCACCGACCACTTTAAAACGAACTTAGGTGGGTCGGACACCATCTTACCTGATCTGCGTTGTACCAGAAATGTGTCGGGTTCGGGAGTCGGTTACGGTTAAGGAAGGATTAGCACTGTTGAACCGCCCTTTCGGTACCAATTAATTTATCGGTTGTCTTTATTGCGAAAAATTGAAAAGTAAAATTAAAATTTAAAGCATTCGATTCAAATTACTTACCTTTGATTAGTTGAAATTCTCGCAAAAAATAAAAAAATGTTAGATAAAAATAATAAATAAATAAATCCAAAAACAAATTATTAAATGTGAAATGAATAAAAAATTAAAAAAAAAACTTGGAAATAAAAAGAATACCACTTTGTGCAAGTGGTGACAGCACATTAATAAAGGATTTACACGTGGGACCCTCCACATCCCCCATAGCTCCTCTTCGTAGCTTTTCTGCATGCTTTGTAAAAGCTAAAGTGTGTTTTTTCTTTATTTCTTCTCTTATGCAAAGCTCTCTCGTCTTGTCCGATTCGTCGCCTATCACCAGGATGAATTTCAACGTTGTTGCAGGTCCGACTGAGTTCCACCATGAATGAGTATATCTCACTGCTGTTGTAATTGTGGCTGGCCGCGAACTCGACCACCACGAGCTTGTTTTTAGCCGTTTTAAGAGCTTCATCAAACTCTTCTATGCTGTGGACCTGATTACGCTCTCATCGCTCGGAGCTTTCCTTGTCCCTGGTGTAGTTGTAGCCTTGGTGATGAATCGTGGGGGTTTGCTTCTTTCGAGTGATTTTGTTGAAAATGGTCTCGACTTTGAAACAAAAGGTGGCAGAAAGGAACTATGGGAGCTAATACAAGTGGCTTTTGGGATGAAATGAAGATCGGTGCATGGTGGCTTAGTTAAGAAATTTGTAATTGCTGCAGCCATTAAACTCTCTCTTCCAAAGCTCTCAACTGGGGTTTGTTTCGGGAACCTCCCCCCCTTTGCATTTTTACAACTAGTTTATATAACAAGCCTAGCATGTCGAGAATCATGGAGAAAGATGATAACAACCTCAACTGCCCTCTTTTTTTATGGTGTCGTGATCCTTATCCAGTAAGTGGCAACCTAAAATCCACTTTTTAAGGACCCACAAAGCCATTTCTCTCAAAGTCACCGGATTTCATGGGATTCCAAGTAGATAACTAACCCAATATATATATAAAATAATAATAGTAATTAATAATAAGAATTAATATATATATATATATATATATATATATATATATATATATATATATTTTAAACCCGGTCAAAAACGGGTGTCTACAGCTGCCCCTCTTTGCACATTCTTGTGTTAACAAGAATAGGGCAAAGACGAAAAAGACAACCAGTTTTTGTCCAGTCTTCTCAAATGTGATTGAGCTTCCTAGAATTGGGCCTCTGTTTTCTTCTCGGTTGAAAATTCTTCTAGAAAGTAGTTCACCACTGTCATCGAGCTGAATGAAATCGAACTCGTCAGGTCTTTGGTTGGCAGATAGCCCTTCTCGACTTAAGCTATGCTGCAAATGATGTGCCTCGGAGCTGAGAGTAGTCGAACTCGAAGGTCTTTGGTTAGCAAATAGCCCTTCTTGCCTTGAGCTATGTTGCAAATGATGTGCCTTGGAGTTGAGCGTAGTCGAACTCAAAGGTCTTTGTGTTTCAAGAGAAACATTTTCAAAGGTTTTTTTGTGTTTCAAGAGGCACGATTTCAAAGGTTTTTTGTGTTTCAAGAGAAACGATTTCAAAGATTTTTGTGTTTAAAGAGAAACTGTCTCCATGAATGCAAAATTTTGTTTCAAGAGAAACATATTGGTTGGTGTTTCAAGGGAAACTGTCTCAAGAGAGACAAAATTTGTTTCAAGAGAAACCGTCTCAAGAGAGACAAAATTTGGTTCAAGAGAAATTGTCTCAAGAGAGACAAAATCTTTAGTTTC